TTCATAACAAGTTTCCAGGTGATACTAATGCCACTATTCTGGGGACCACCCTTTGTGACTGACCCACTGTCCTAGCAACTGGGAGCATGGGCTTTGGAATCAGACACAACTGGATTCCAAGTCTACCTCTGCCACCTGTTGTATGAGCCTTAGGAAAGTTACTCAAACTCTGAACCTCAGTTTCCAACACCTGGGCCCTACTCTGAGAACACAGCCCTGGTAGTACAAGGGTTAAGTACTCTGCTGCTAACCAAACAGTTGGCAGTCAGAATCCAACCAGCAGCTCCATGGGAGAAAAACCTGGCAATCCAATTCCATAAAGATTACAGCCAAGAAAACCCTAGAAGATGGTTGTATTCTGTCATATGGGGTTACTATCACTCAAAATCTACTCAACGGCATTTAACAACAACAACAAATTAGATATAAAGCATTCACTTAGCAAAAGGCATGGCACATTCTAAGGCAAGTGTTTAATAAATACTTGCTACATCCTATATTTGTGTTTTATTATTTTGTTTATTTTAATGTGTCTTATTGACTATGCAAAGGCATTTGACTGTGTGGATCACAACAAATTATGTGTAACGTTCTGAAAAATGGCAATTCCAGAACACTTAACTGTGCTCATGAGGAACCTGTACATAGACCAAGAGGTAGCCATTTGAACAGAACAAGGGGATATTACATGGTTTAAAATAAGGAAATGTGTCTGTTCATGGTTGTATCCTTTCATCATATTTACTTGATCTGTATGCTGAGCAAATAACCTGAGACCTGAACTACATGAAGAAGAGTATGGCATCAGAATTGGAGAAAGAATCATTAACAACCTGCAATGTGCAGACATAATCTTGCTTGCTGTAACTGAATAAGACTTGAAGCACTTACTAATGAAGACCAAAGACCACCATCTTTAGTATGGACTACACCTCAATATAAAGAAAACAAAAATCCTTACAATTGGACCAATAAGCAACATCACGATAAATGGAGAAAAGAGTGAAGTTGGCAAGTGTTTCATTTTACTTGGATCTGCACTCAATGTCCATGGATGCAGCAGTCAAGAAATCAGACAATATATTGCACAGGGCAAATCTGTGGCAAAAGACCTCTGTGAAGTGTTTAAGAGCAAAGATGTCCCTTTGAAGACCAAGGTGCACCTGACCTAAGCCATGGTATTTTCTATATGCATGTGAGAGCTGGACAATGAATAAGGAAGATGGAAGAAGAATTGATGCTTTTGAATTGTGGTATTGGCGAAGAATACTGAATGCATCATGGACCTCCAGAAGAACAATCAAATCGGTCTTAGAGGAAATAGGATCAGAATGCTCCTTAGAAGCAAGAACAACCAGACTTCATCTCTTGTGTTTTGGTTATGTTGTTAGAAGGGAGCAGTCCCTGGACAAAAGATATCATGTTCAGTAAAGCAAAGGGTCAGCAAAAAAAGGGGAAGACCTTCAATGTGATGGACTGACACAGTGGCTGTAACAATGGGCTCAAACACAGCGATGATTGTGAGGATGGCAAGGGACCAGGCAGTGTTTCGTTCTGTTGTGGGGTCATTACGAGTTGGAACTGACTCAATGGCACCAAACAACAATACATCCTATATCAAAGTTTCCTTACCTTTTTTTTTTCTTTCCTCTTTCTCCACAAACACTTAATAAAATGGCTAAAATTCGAGACAAGACAACAACAAAGAGTGGCAAAGATGTGGTGCAAATGGAACATTTATAGCAGCTTTATTCATGATAGTCAAAGTCTAAATGTCATGAACAAGCAAATGGATAAAGAAACTCTGTATCTATACAATGGAATACTACTCAACAATTTTAAAAAAGAACAAATGATACACACAACATGAAAAAAATATCTGTAACATTTTGTTGAGTGAAAAGAACAGACACAAAATAGTACAATGTGGGGGAAAAAAGAGTACCTTGTGCATTATTTCATTTATATTCTTATGAAAGAAATCACAATAGCATTTGCCTATAGAGGTAGGGAGAAATGATGGGAAAGGGGCATGAGAGATATTTCCACAAGGACAGAAATGTTCCATTTCTTCACTGGAGTGATGACTGCAGGAGCATATATATTTGTCAAAACTCAACAAATTATATACTTACAATCTGTGCACTTTACTGTAACTTGATGATATGTCAATAAAGTACTGATTCTAATACCATTTGCTACAGACTATTTTGATCCATAAGGAGCTCTGGTGGCACAGTGGCTAAGGCATTTGACTGCTAACCAGAAGGCTGGCAGTTCAAACCTACCAACCACTCCTGAGAAGGAAGAGGGGGCAATCTACTTCCATAAAGATTTACTGCCTCGGAAACCCAATGGGGGTCGCTATGAGTCAGAATTGACTTGATAGCAGTGAGTTTGGTTTTGGTTTTATTTTGGTCCATCCATCTTTCCAGAGAGCTCCCATGAAATAACAACAGCAGAACCTTCTCCCACAAGAAGACTGTGACATTTCCATATAGACAGCATCCAGAGTGATCCATATCAATGGCTATAGCTAACTCAAGATGTAGACAATATAGAAATAGCATTTTCTTTGCCACATACCAAGTATGAGCCTACCTGACATGATTAAGACACAGTAATGAAGACACAGTAAAAGTGATTCTGTTAATATCATTCAAATCATATTCTCAGTATGAAAGAGGGAGCAGAAGACTGGGGAAGTGATTTCTAGGGCCATCTTTACTGGTAAGGAAGATGTTAGAAGAGCTGTTACCTACATAATTATTACAGGAAATAGTAGTTTTCATATTGTAGTGGATTCCAGGGCCTTTGAGATTCCCCATCAACACTTATTCTACTCCATTACAAGTAGACTTACATATACACATACCTGCTGTGAACATTCACGTGTGCACAGAATAGTCCTGAGACACTATGGTTCTCTTTGAAACCAGTTCCAAGCCTACTTGTTTATCTCACCAATCCTTCCTAAACCCTATCTATCATGAGGAGCTCTGGGATGATGCCTCCTGACTTTGATCACCAGTGAAAAGAGGAAGCCCAGGGACATTCAGCATCTTCCACACTGAAAACAAGTCCCCATAGACCCATTAGAACCCCTATTAGATGGGCAGGTACCCCTGTCTGTCCTTCCTCCAGCCCTTTCTCCAAAATGTCTCTGAACCAAGATCTGCACCTGTTCCCATCAAATGTCTTGACACAGTATTTTCTCTACAACTTTGTCAAATCCTAATAAATAATCCAGGTCCCTGACACCGAAAGTTAACCTTACAAATAAATAAGTACTCAAATTCAATTCAAACATAACAACGGCTCACCTTTACTGAGCACTCAGAAGAAAGCCATTTTACAGATATGGAAATATTTCAGAGGTGATGGATCTCAAGCAAAGGAAAGGGAGAAGGGCAATGAATGAGGCAGTCTCTCCCTGCAGTAAGCTTACTACCTGGGAGATGAAGGTAGTAACTCAAAGCTCTGAGTAAATTAAAAATCACAAGATACACATTAAGGGAGCCCAGAAGAAGAAAGATTTGTTCATCCTGACAGGATGCTGGAAGGCTTCTTGGAGGAGGTGTCCAAGTGGAAATCAGGACATAAATGGCCAAAGCTTTCCATAGCTAAGTGTCAATCACTTGACTCCCAAAGCTACCAAAAGGCCTAGCTATTCCCCCTGCCCTCTTTCATCTGGAACAAGCCTGTTTCCAAGAGAAGCCCAGCCCAGCCTAGCCTTCTTTCTTTTGACACATTCCTCCAGCTGCTGTCCACCAGCAGACACATGTGGGAACTTCTCACCATGCTAAACTATGCCACCTCCTTTGGTGTTTTCAGAGAAAGAACTACGTCATGGTATTTGGTCATAAAAGGGGATGTCTTTAAGAGACTTCAGTCTTCTCTGTTAGGCTGATGTAAGGACAGCCATTTGTCTGCCCCAAAGCAAAATGTAAAGGGGCCCTCCCTCAAAAAACCAACTGCATCTTCCATCCTTTAAGACATGTTCTCCTCCTGTACCATTTTCTGAACTAAGTTTGGTCCACACCCTGACACAAGTCAGCCCCTCCAGTCCCTGAGGGTCATTACCTCTGCCCATTCCTCCCCAACGCTTAAGGCTCTGCAATTCAAACCAGGCTTTTGGTAACAGTGTAACATAGAGCAAGTCATTTAACTAATGTCAGTCCCGATTTCGTTACCTGTAAAATGGGATTTGTAAGAAAAACTCTCCCTTATTATGAATCAAGAGCGAAATTGTACTAGTAAAGCAGCGGCCAGAGCCCAGCACAGAATAAGCATCAATGAATGGTATCTGTCATTATCATAGATGATGATGGTGACAGAGTAAATTTGGGCTACATTTGCACCAAGAGCTAAATATCCCTCTCCCCACCCCTACATGCCCGGTGCTGGGCCACACCGTACAGACACATGCGTCATCTGGCTGTGGGTGAACGCAGGCTCTTCAGTAAGCGGGCTTAGGAACTGCCAGTCGGTTATACCCTAGTCTGATGGGAGAGCATGCATAGTGAAGCTTTCTGATGGAAGGGATCCAGTAAATTGAGGATCCTTCCCTCCTTCATACCCACTTTCCAGGTGAGGAAACAAACAAGTGGCAGAAGAATGTCAGCAGCTGCTCCCGCTGAATCCCTCACCCAAGGAGCTAGGCCTGTGTCCAGCGTTGCCCCTGCCTCAGTTCCCCAACTCTCCGCCAGGCGCAGGCGAGACTGTGCTGCACTCGGCGGCTGAGATAACAGGTTGGCAAACCAGGCCTGGGATATGTCTCCCGGTTCACTGCGCAAACCCAAAGCCTCTCCCAAATGCAGGTGGACAAACAACCTAGAGTCTCGCAACAATTCTGTGTTTGTCTCAGCGACAGGGCGCTCGGCCTCAACTTCCCCTCTTGGCTGCGCTGCGAGGAGGAAAGCGGGAAATCAAGATTAGGGAGACACTCCCCAGGCCGCGCATTTTCTGGGGGCGCCCCCCAGAGGCGCGCCGCATCTTACCTTGTCTGACGGCTTTGAAGGTGACCGCCTCCTTGCAGCTGTCGATGACTCCCAACACGTCATAGCGGGGCAAGCCGGCCACCCGGATCCCCTGCACCTCCAGAAGCAGTTCCCCTTCGCCCAGCCTCGGGCCCTCGCCGCCGCCGGGAAGACCCGTCGCCTCGGCCGCAGCCACCGCTCCTACATACGGAAACTCCCCGTTCTCCGCGCCCCCCAGCACCGTCACCCCAAGCTCGCCCTGGGGCCCCCGCTTCACGATGCATTCGTGAACCCTGCTAGTCCAGTGATTCTTCTTCTGGATCACTTTCGACATGGTGAGGTACACCCCTCCTCCAAAAAATAAAATAAAATGAGAGACAGGTGCCCCCCCAGCACAAGCCCCCCAAAGCTCCGCTTGTTCATAGGAGAGCCATCTCCTCCCAAATAACGCCACGGGAGAAAGAAACTTGGCAGCCTCGCTTCCCTGCACACACTCGCGCACTCAAGCCATCATAAAACAAACTTTCTGGGCTTCTCCACGAGCCCTGCACAGGCGCCCGCGAGCTTTGTTTGCATTCCGGTGCCTCTTGGTCCACGTTCCGGTGCTCGACCGTGCTCTCCCGGACCAGAGTCCACTCTGTGCCGCTTGGGGTATTTTTTTTCCTTCCTTCCTTCCTTTCTTGCCTTTTAGAAATACGATGTCTCCTCTTTGCCTCCCATCTGGCTCGTCTTTCCTCGCTGGCGGGCTGATCTTGAGGGTGAGGGAAGCCCGTCTAGCCCAGTTGCTTGGAGCCCTTGAGACGCGGTTGCGGAGCAGGGGGGAGGGGGAAGGATAGGACGGCTGTGCCGGCGGCCCCTTTAAGCAGATACAAAGGCTCTGCTTGTTTTGTTACATTTCATTCTATTCCGCGCGGCGGAGCGCAGCGGCCGGCGAGAGGAGACGCGCGCGCATGCGCCTCGCGGCCGCCCGCCGTCCGGCCCGCCCCACCCCTCCTACCCTGAGAGAGAGATTCCAACGTGCTTCCCGTTGGGTCCTAAAACCGTCCGTAGAAAACGCCGATTTATACCCCTCTCCACTTCACACTTGAGTTCTGGTAGAGTAATGATTAACGCACTCGACTGCTAACCAGAAGGCTGGCGGTTGAAACCCACCAGTCACTCCTTGGAAGGAAGGTTGGGCAATCTATTTCCGTAGTAATACCTCCTGGGAAACCCAAGGAGGAGTCGTTATGTGTGGGTCCCATTCGAAGGCACATAAAAACAACAACCACTTCATACAAACCTCGCTCCTCCTTTTCTATAGGATGCGTCCACTGAGCAAATTCTTTGGGAGGAGGGGGGCGCACATGTTTCACTCCAGCAGTTTGCAACTTCTGAAACATAATCTCACTTTGGGATTTTAAAACCATTTCAAACAGGTGGGGGTTGGGGAGGCTCACATACCCTCGCGCTCGCCCTCACGCGCACGCACTCACGCTGGCCCTAAGCCTCCTACAGCCCTCGGCCAGTGGCTGGCCGCGCTGTCGGTCACCTAGCCCGCTGTGCTCATCTCCCCCCCCCCCATACACACACACACACACACACTCCGCCACTTTTCCCTCTAAACCTCTGAGACCCACCAAGAGAGGCACCCCTGCTCCCCACCGGCACTGTGCCAGAGGTTTAGCGTTCGGGCTGAGGTCCGCTAGTATCTTTGCAACGCCGGGGAGGGGGGCTGCAGGGGTTCCGTGGGCACCAAACTGGGATTCTTGTAAGTTTCAAACGTCCCTACACACGGACTGTCGCCTTTATACTTTGGCGCCAACTTTCTAGGATACGGGAAGATACAGGCGAGGGAGAGAAGCCAAACGGCTAGTAAGGGTTCGCATCTCCAACCTTTGGTTAAATGGAATCTAGCTTTTTCACTGTCCTTCCAGAAAAGACTTTTGGAATCTGACCTCTACCCTGGGCTCAAGTTCCTGGCGGAGCTGGGAAACCTTGGGACTCGCCCTGAGGCCAGGAGATAAGGATCGTCCTGGGGCACGCGGGGGCGGGGGCGCGGCCGCCACCTCTCGGAATTCGCAGCCCGGGGTTGCTGCCACCTTCGGCGCCGTCTCGGGGCGTGGAGAGAGTGAGCTTCTGTCTCAGCGAGGTTACGGAACGAGGTCGGGGGGGGGGCAGCGTACAGAAGAAACACCCTTACGTGTAGGCTGCCTTATCCAAACACGCCTCTAATCAGTCTGGACGGTAAAGAAAAGAGTGTCTCAAGCAGTTTCTTTATCCTATTAATGCTTTATAACTTACTTGTTCATCTTTAATCACAGGAGATTAAATGCAAAATAAGGGAGGTGAGTGGAAAAGACTCAGGGTGTTCTGCCGCAGAATGGGAGTTGAGAACAGGGCTCTGGGGTTAGGTTTCTGTAATTTTTACCCAAGTAACGTGCGTTATACAGTTTTCCGACCGTGAAATGCCCTCGTGTTCTTTACATAAGCGTACTAATACCAATATTGGTTACAAGCTGATGACTTCCACTTCCTTTTTTTTTTTTTTTTCTCCTTCCTGTCCAACAGATTTAAAGTTAAGTCTTCCTCTTGGTGCCTGTTAACTTGGAGGTTTGATTCCCAGCCAGAGACCCTCACCAGCCTACCCTAGAGTTTCTAAAGCAACCCTTCTCCAGGCAGGATTCCTTCCCTCTGCAAACCGCTTTTGCGAATGCAGGAAGAAATCACTTTTTCTGCCTTGGAAACAGCCTTCTCCAGGATGGTGGGCCCCAGACTATGAGATGCGCAGTTGCCTTGGACCATTTTAATTTCCTGCCCCCGTGAACACCACCGTAGGGCGTGGGGCAGGTTGCAAAGGAGTTGCTAATCCCTTACTCAGACTGGCTAGGTCTGACTGGCCACACAATGGCCCCACCAGGGCCCAGGTAGTGTATACCTGCACCCACACTGCCCTACTGCCCGGCTTCAGTGGGGCCAGCAACCCCAGACCTGGGCACGCATGGGCAACACCCCAGGCAGCCAGGCAACCAGCCTGTACTTGCACTGTGGCAGCCTAACACACAGCAGTTTGTCCAACCACAGGGAACTCCACCAGCAGCAAATTGCCTCAGAGCAAACAGACAGTTTCAATTACTTATTTTCTGATTACCAGGGTACTACCAAACTCAATCCATACTTCTCGACCGTAGTTCATACCTTTACTGTGCAACTATGATCAAAAGCAATGTTTTTGAACTATTGAATGAGGGACAACGAGGCTGAAATTCACTTTTGGATATGTCAGGAGACATGTGCAGTGTATGCATGGATGTACTATACCAGAACTTTTTACACAGTTTGGTCATTTCAGCCATTTATTTATATGTGGGTGCTTGTTATTTTTGTAGGTATGCTATTTGCAAAAAATACAGTACCTCACGAAGTCGTTCGGAGAGTACTTGTAAAGTATTCCATTTGTAAAGTACAAACTTGTTGAGTGACATAAAATAGAAGTATCTTGTATTATTATTAGTATTAATACTCATATTTGGAAAGAGGAAGGAAATCATTTGGAGTTTCAGGTTAAGTCATGATAATTCATCTCCTACATTCTAGAACTTAAAATGATATATGGCCATATATTTAAATATTTGTAAAGCACTTTTTTAGGATTCTGTTCTAAGCTAGGAGTCCCTGGGTGACACAAATGGTAATGCACTAGGATGCCAACATAAAAGTTGGAGGTTTGAGCCCCCCCCCCCACTACCACCAAGAGACACCTCAGAAGAAAGGACTGCCAATTTTTTTTTTTTTTTTTTTTTAAATCAGTCATTGAAAATCCTATGGAGCATACTTCTACTCTGGCACACACAAAGTTGACATGAATAGGAATTGACTCAACAGCAACAAGTTTGGTTTATTCTCAGATAATAAAAATAAAAAAAGAATGTTGATGCTTCTCTTTTGGACTATCCAGAGTAAAATCTCATTACCTCAGTGTGTTTCTGAAGGAGGTAGCCGATTTCCCATGGCCCTTCTTGGTGAGCGGAGCATCCTTCATCTCCAGTCTCTCTTCTTAGAAAGAGGTCTCTGGGTGGCCTAAATGTCTAGTCACCTAAAGTTTGGTGATTTGAACCCACCCAGCAAGGGCTCTGGTAGTGTAGTGCCTAAGGCATTTGACTACTAACCAGAAGGCTGGCAGTTCAAATCCACCAGCCGCTCCTCAGAAGGAAGGTTGAGCAATCTACTTCCGTAGTGATACTACCTTGGAAATCCAAGGAGGGGTTGCTATGAGTTGGGGTCAACTCGACGGCACATAACAACAACAACAGCAGCATTGCCACAGAAGAAAGGCCAGGGGATTTGCTTCCATAAAGATTCAGCCAAGAAAACCCTATAGTGTAGGTAGTTCTATTTTGTTACAAAGAGGGTCATCATGAGACCACTACAATGAGTTGGTTGATTGATTTTTTCAGAAACAATTGGTTTGTCTCAAACCTGTGGGTAAAAACATTATGGAGAGATTCAGTAGAATTCCAAGCCCAACTCCAGATCCAGTTAATCAGAATCTCAGGGATGAGTTCTATCATCTAGATTTTTAAGGTTACCTTCAAGTGGTGCTCTGGTGGGATAGTGGGTAAAGTATTTGGCTGCTAACTAGAAGGTTACTGGTTCAAATCTACCAGCTTCTCTGTGAGAGGAAGGTGAGGCAATCTACTTTCATAAACATTTACAGCCTTGGAAACCCAATGAGGGTTGTTATAAGTTGGAATCGACTCAATGGCAGTGGATTTGGTTTGGCTTTTTTTTTGGTCAGGTGGTGCTGGTATACAACATCGAAGACCACAGGTCATGAGTCCTAAGCAGTTTTTTGTTCCTGACCCTTTTTCATTCATCTTCTTCCAAAGTGTAAGCTCTGGGAGAGCAAGGAATTTGGCAGTTTTGTTTGCTAATATATTACCACTTCCTAAAACAATGCCTCATTAGTCACCAGTTGCCCTCAAGTAGATTCCAACTCATGGCGGCCCTATGTGTTTTGGGATAGAACTGTACTCCCTAGGGTTGACAAGACTGTGACCTTTCAGAAGGAAATCACTAGGCCTTTCTTCCAAGGTGCCTTTGAGTGGGTTCAAGCTGCCAATCTTTAAGTTAGTAGCCAAGTACTTAACGTTTTACGCAACCCAAGGGTTCCTAGAAGAGTGCTAGTAAATGTTCAAATATATGTTGAACGAATATTCCCACAAAAATGTACATTTTCACCGCTCAGTTTAGGGAGGAAATCACAGCTTCCCTTACAAATCACTATAAACTTGCCCTTGTGTGTTTCCCCATTTCCTCACTCTGTAGTCTAGTAAATCTGGATAGCTAGCCAGG